TTTATAAAGAGAAATCGGTATTAAGTTGGGTGATATTAATCTATTATAATACAAAAGACAAATTATTATTAAATTGGCTTGTTAAATTCTATAATATAGGACTTTGATAGTGATAAGTTATTGATTAAAATTAGCTTAGGTGAAACGAAATGAACGATGAAAAAAAAAATTTATGATGCTGTTTTTTATATGCATATGTTTGCTGACAATATAATAATGTTCTGTGATAATAGGGGTTAAATCACCACCTAATTAATTTCACTGGCCAATCAGAGTTTAAGACCATGTGTACCGCAAAAGAAGTGCAAAAAAATCAAAACAAAAAAACGCTTGTAGCTTAAAATTTTGCCTATGAAAGTGCCTTCTGCGTACTAACAAAAAATTTTTCTCGTGAAATTTTACTATAACTACAGCCTTTAAATCAAACACTAACCTACTGATGGGACCCTAATCCTAAACTAATTGCGAAACAATTTTTTAATAAGGTCACAGGGCGAAATTTTTTAGGTGGTGATGTGATGCTAAACTCATGGTATATGATCTGCGCAGTAAATTTAAATTTACATAGCAAATAAAAATATGTTACTAAAAAATTTTTTAAAAACATACCAAATTTTTAGGATATATAAATTAAAATGGTTTATTTATTATAATAAAAATTTTATAATATATATTATTTTAAAAAACTATAATTGTATATATCATAAAGGTCTCGGTAGTAAATCCAAATTCTCGGTGGTAGCATTCTGATTGGTTGATTATCATATGATTTTTATAATAGATTTATAATACCTAATCTTTAAATAAACCTATCTCGACGAATTTTAATCTGAATTTAATAATTCTACTATCATTATAATCACAAAAATCTGCTTTACAACTTTGCTTAAAAGTCTAAAAGCAGTTAAGTTAGTAAAAATGGTTTTAAATACCAAATAAAATAAAAATTACGATTAAAGTCATATCGATATGACAAGTGAGGAGAAAAGAACATGAGATTTGTTTGGCTAGTTTTAAATTGTATCATCTGAGGTGGGTGACTTTGGTAATGCCGGCCCCTTCCGAAAGGTCCCGACCCGGAATTTTGGTCGATCTGCTGAATTTTGGTTGCGCCACTAATTTAATCAAAATCTAACTTTTGATAGCTTATTGTAATCAAAAGTTTGCATACAATGCGAAATAAATTAGAGGGAAAAAGCGTTCGAATGTTTTGAAAAAGTCCCTGTGCTAATAGAATATTTATGATTGGTTATTGGCATTAAATTGGAATCGGGTCAAAAAAGATGAGTATTATAAGAAAGCTGCCTACATAAATTATTTTGCAGGAACATTTGGTGTGTTATTGTTACTATTTTGGAATAGGAATTAACAAAGATAAATGCGAAGCTTTTGGAAACTTTCAGAAAGTATCTGATATGTTTCTTGCCGAAGGAATGTATCAAGTTAGTTTTTATCCTGAAAAAGGAATCGAGCTCGATAAGGATGAACATAAGGTTTTCAAGCATTATCAAAAATCTGCCGATATAAGTGATGCTTAAGGAGTGTGTCAAGTTGGATTTGTTGTCGAAATGAGATTAGTATTAACAAAATGATGGCAAGTGTTTGAATATGTTCAAACTTTTCTGATATTGGAGATTCTGATGGAATATTTGTACTTGTAATTGTGAAAAAGATGAGAAACAGACATTCGAGTATTATCAAAGATCAGCAGGGATGACAAATCTTAATGGCATATCAAGATGGAACCGGAATTAGAAAGGATAACAAAGCATTCGAGTATTATCAAAAATCAGCAGATGAGAAATGTTAGCGGATTATTAAATTGTTATTGAAGACACTTTCAAAAAGCTGTTGATAGGAGTGATACAAGATATAATCCTGATGATTGTTATCATCATGGAATTGGGATAGAGAAGGACAAGTGCAAGACATTTGAATGCTATTGGAAAGCTGCTAATATGGGCCTCGCTGAAAGAATAGATAGTATTAATCATCGTTATGAAAAAGGAATCGGGTTGACAAAGATAAGAGAAAAGCATTCGAAATAGAAGGCTGTTGATGTGGGATACACTTTTGGAATATTTAATGCTAGTTATTGTTACGAAAATAGAAATGGTGTCTTGATCAAATGACCATAAGCATGGATTTAGTTAGAAGATTAAATAAATCAAGTAAAACACTATTTGGGTACAACCCTAAATTCAGTGCTTAACACTTTCGAAATGTAATTATCTTTGAGAACTTTAAATAGGCTTAATCCTTCATAATTTAATGAGTAGCAGCTACATCATTTAAGTGAATTCATAATTATGTTGGCGTAGGATAAAAAAAATATATATATAGGCGTCATCATGTGTAACTTTGGTGGTTTGCCAATTGTGATAGGCAAAATTGTTTTAAGGTCGCAAAATTTCTTGTTCACTTTATAGGCTTTGACAAAGCAGGATCAAAAAATTTTTTGATTTAAACCTAAGGACGCCAGTGGCGTACTTTATTTAATATTTACATACAATTGATATTAACGGGCTATGTTATACAAGTTTTTATAATTATCTTTAATACGGACCCGGAATGAGATTGGCCGGATGTAACAATATCAAATTTCATATATGGTGTTGATTTTTATTCAATTTCTCAATTGGGTATTACCATAAATCGCCATATAAACTACCCTGTTATGTTACATTTCACAGATTAAATACTTATATTATACCCAGGGACATACATTGCATGGAAAGAGGGAGGGCTTCTTCTTGTTACATATAGTTTATATAGATTGCCTGTTAATACACCTGAAATTTGATCCTGGGATAGACCCGAATACAATACAGGTGGGTCTACCATTAAATGGGGTTTTTATATGGCATCCGTCGCTATGTACTGATCTGTGAATATGCATACCATTTAAGTTGCCAGGCACTTTCAACTCTGCTAACGGGGCAGCTAATTCTATCACAATTTTCCAAGTCTTTTGACTGGGTTTGATTTGTGTTAGGGCAATTTGAGCATTCCTCCAGATTAGAAATTGGGAATCAACTATTATGTTTAGTTGACTAGTTAGTCGACTAAACATAGTAGTTTACTATACGGATTTTTTGGTCGACTAAATCGATTCCAAGCATCAATATATTTTGACATTAGAAATACCTTTAATATTTGTCCATTTCCATAAATGCGCCGTTGTGCTACCTATTAATTGACACCTATTTCTAACATTATATAGTGTGTTTCCTTTCAAGAACTTAACCGTATTTCTGACTGAAAACCGTCTCCTGACTCATTTGCGATGGTAAGACTATATATTTATTCCATGGCCAATTTCTTGCCTCTATTTTGCCATTGGTACGTTTACATGAGATTTTCGTTGTTCTGACTAGTCTCATATTTTAATCAGATTCCATTTTATTCGTAATATTTCTTTTAGCACTTAATTAATTTTTAAATTATTGATCTTTCGACCTTAGCCATAGATTATTTTCCGTTAAAAATTTTATCCAAATAGACAGTAGACGTATCTATCGTATCAGGCAAAGTTGGGATATCCAAACCTCCTTGTGATAATGGTAATAATATACTTGGGAGTAGTTTGGATTTTGCTTTGATCCATTTTCTAACATATTATTAATTGTGGCGAATTGATTCCGAGTTGGCGGAGCTAAGCATGCACTGCATCATGGTCAAAATTTAAAATAACCTAATTTTGTATACTCTTTCTCAAATAAATATCGCTTCACTAAATTATTATTTCGTATCAGTATTTCCACATTCGGTCAATCGTTGTAGATCTTGTCAATCTTTTAAAGATGTACACCATTACATCTTGCGTCGTCGTACAGTGCTTACCCCTGAGCTTGAGGACTTTCTGCTGCTTTGGTAATAATAATGTTTCAGGTAGGATTATTCAATATCCTAAATTCTTTTTGTCAACAAGGTTAAGATATTAGTTATTTTATTTGTACATAGCAATCAATATTTAGATTGAGTGTGATGTTTTTATAATTGTCAGGGATGTGACGGCGATTAACCTTTTGTGAATTTATGAAATTTTCATCATGTGTGAAAACGGGAAAATTCCAAATGGCTTGAGATTTTCGTATTCAAGTACCGTAGGTTATACCAAACCATATCCGGGCCCATCACGTTAATTTTCTTGAAGTACCTATCAACAAAATTAACGTAATGGTAGTCATTTCAATCTTAACAAAACTATTTGATTGGCACTCGTTGGCTTGTTATTAAGTATTATTATGCCATTCGGAATTCTTCCTGTCGATGTATTTCGGAATTAAATATAATCTGGTTTTAGTAAAGAATAGAAAGTCACGATATGATTCTTTGTAAATTATAGTGATCGATTTATAAATAAATCATTGAAATCATTGTACCGTATTTAGGTTGCACATTTACAGATATGTGCTATTGTCTATTATATAAATCATTACAATAAATCTTGAGTTGATGCCTAAAAAATATAATACGGTGCAACATTTATATAATTCGATAAACATTAAAAACTCTCCTCTCTTGAAAATATTAAGTGACCGCAATATTAAGTCGTGAATAAATCATAAAAAAAAAGGGCAAAAGGTAGTGTGTACTTATTCTGTTATTGAGGTGTTTAACACGACATATACTCAACAGCTAAGATATCAGACTCAACAGAGAAATAAACCTTGTTTTTTGGTGTCAAAAGAATGTCTACAGAATCAAAAAAACGAATAAACTATTTTTATGATCGTAAGTAGATTGTCCTTAGGGATATTTATCGTTCGAGTGAACTTAGCACGTGTGGTGTGATATTCTATGTATTTTAGACAGTGGGTTGGGTCTAGAAAGGTTACAAAACCCTGGTTAAACGGGTTGTGAAGGAAAAGAATAATATTAATCAAAATTCTTGTCGTTTTTTCTCTTTCTAGATGTCATAGGTAGTTTTAATCATGGAAGTGGCCATCCTATGAAGCCCCTGAGAGTAAGGATGACTCATAATCTTGTGATGAAATATGGATTGTATAAGAAGATGGAAATATTTGTATCCAAATTTATCTGATATTGGTTTTGACGTCGACTTGGATCTAGTTTATTCTCGTTCAGTGGTGGTTCATAATTGTCAAGATTTTTCTCAATTCCATTTTTTCGTATAATCCTTGATCAAAAACGATACTATTAACAGAGGCCAAAACCTGGAACAATTGAGGAGCTCACTCAATTTCATACCGATGATTACATTAATTTTTTAAGCAGGGTTACGGCAGACAATGTTGATACTTGTATAAAAGATTGTATCAAATGTATGCATGTTTTTTTTTTTTTTGTTTTCTCTTATATGAGCATATTAATAATTTTCTCATATTTCAATAGTCAATGTTGGAGATGATTGCCCTGCTTTTGACGGACTACTTGAATATTGTAGAAGAGCAACAGGTGGTTCTCTTGGTCAGTAAATATATTATTTAAACCCAAAATCCAAACGAGGTACACCATAATTATCTCATTTTGAATATGTTAATTTATATTATTATCGATAATTTTGTAGAAGGAGCAGCCAGAATAAACTATGGTTTATGCGACATAGCTGTAAATTGGGCTGGAGGTTTACATCACGCAAAAAAACAAGAGGCCAGTGGGTTTTGTTATGTCAACGATATTGTAATTGCGATTCTCGAATTATTGAGGTAAGACATATCAATATATCACTATAATAAATGTAATAGAACTTATTTTCGTTTTATCCGACAAAAATTTAAACTTTAAATTGATAATCTTATTGATAGATTCCACCAACGTGTCCTTTATATCGATATTGACATTCACCATGGTGATGGTGTTGAAGAAGCTTTCTATACAACTGACCGCGTAATGACGTTGAGTTTTCATAATTTCGGAGAATATTTTCCGGGTACGGGAGATATCAATGTATGTTTATATATTAGACATTAGGATGAATCCGATGAGCAGAGAAATGCACGGCGGTGGGTTTTCTATGGACGGTGTTCTCGGATTTCAGAGATGGTACTGCATCCTTTAATTATTCGATTAACCTGTTATCACAGGATATTGGTATAGGAAAAGGTAAATATTACGCCGTGAATTTTCCTCTAAGGGAGGGCATAGACGACGAGTCGTATAAAAGCGTATTTGAACCGGTTGGTTTTAGTCTTTTATAATTTCAAATTTTATTTATTTCTTACCTTTGCACATTATTTGATCAATTATTTAATATTTTGTTAGGTAGTTACACGAGTCATTGAATGGTATCAACCTGAAGTGATCGTTTTGCAGTGCGGCGCGGATTCACTAAGTGGTGATCGTCTTGGTTGCTTCAATCTGTCATCAAAAGGCAAATGAATAACATACATTGTCGTTAATATGTTGATTATATTGCTATATCTCACTTTCCTATCTTTTACCATTATTTGCAGGCCACGCCCATTGTGTGCGATTTGTCAAAAAATTTAACATTCCAATGTTAGTATTGGGAGGTGGTGGTTACACTGTACGAAATGTGTCAAGAGCCTGGGCATATGAAACTGGTGTGATTGTTGGACAGGAGATTGGACCAGGTTAGGTCTTCATTTCTGGATCTTGTTTGTTTTTCAAATATGATTTAACCAAATTATTTTTTATAGAATTACCACCTCGTTCAGAGCACGATTATTTTGAATATTTTGGGCATGATAATAAAATAGATGTTCTTTCAAGCAACATGGAAAATAAGAATACAAGAGAATATTTAGAAAAGATAACGTATGTCTACAGTTATGATGTTTACATTGCTTAATTTTCTTTTTTTTCAACATATAATTTTTCCGTTAGTGTCAAAGTATTTGAAAATTTGGATCGATCTAGGCACACTCCCAGTGTCCAATTACAAGGTTCATTATGTCATTTTACTAAGCTCTTTATTATTAATTTGTAATTTTTTATAACTTGGACCGCTATTCCATTTATAGATATACCAGGAAAAAGCTATGAATTCGATGAACATTCTGATGATGATAATCCGGACGAACGAATTTCAAGTATACTGAATATTTAATTCCATTTGCATGCTTTGTTGGAAATGTAACTACTAATATTTGGCTTATTTCGCATAGGACGGCTAAGGGACAAACATATCGCACCGGATAATGAATATTATGATTCATCCGATGAGGAATGTACATTTAAGATTCCCATTCCTAACGAATACGGGCCTTCCAGATATGTGCGGTCATATCGCCATAAAATGATAAAAAATAGTTCAGAATAAAAGGCCAATCTGCTATATAATTAAACCATATAGATATTTACTTAATAAAATCTGTTTTAAGATTATAGGTACTTAGATTTAAATTATAAAATAGTTTAATTTTAATTTTTGTAATATATAAAATAACTAATAAAGAATTTTTTTTAAAAAAAAATTGAATAATAGGTATTAACAACATATTGTATGTAATTTTTATATTAAGTTTTGTAATTAAATATTAAACTAGGTTTAAATAATTATACAATTAAAACTATTTAAATGTTAAGTTTTTAAAATTAAATATAAATTTATAAAATTGTTATTTATATTTTTTATTTTGCTACAGTACATTATATTTAAAGATTATATAAATTTTAAAATTAATAATTTTTAATTTAAAAAAATATTTTAAGAAAGATTTTGCTAATTTGTAGTTAAATTAATTTTTTACAATTTTAGTTTTATTTTAAGCTATATTAATTTTTTAAAATATATAATTTTAAATATATAATTTAAAAATTTTTTTTTTCTTTTAAGCAGTCATGCTAGTGCTTTATTAAGATTTTGGAATTACATTTGCAATTACATAAATATCCTTAACTACCAAGCCCAGCATCACCTGGCCACCCTAATGGTACCTAAGTGCAACCTGCTGCATTACTTCAAGCAAAAGTAAGCCACTCGTTTGACTACTTATAGTCTATAATGAAAGGGTCTTCTTCCTTTCATGACAAGCTCTAAAATTGTTTTCTGTACTTCTTTTCTGATTTGTTTTCTTTTTTCTTTTGCTTTTTCTTTCTTTTCTTCTATAACTTGCCAATTTGGTTTTCCTTTTTTACTCGGTACTTTTTTTTTTTTCCTTTTTCTTTTCTTCTTTTTATTCTATCTGTTATACTTTTATTTTTTCCTATTTATTAATCTTCTTACATCGAATTCTTCATACTTGTTCGTAAAATGTATCCCAGGCTGTTCTTGCAATTATATCAAAAAACTGCTGTCTTAATTTTATGCTTAAAAGCTGTCTCAATCTGTCTTGTATTTCTTTTGGAATTAGACCTTTAATTAGTGCCTCTCTTTTTTTAATTTTTTCTGCTTCTGTCTTTCCAAAGAGCATCATATATAATATATATAGAGGAACTCGAACTTTCTTTTCTTTCTTTAACCCTTTTCAAGCTGTTGCAATGGTCACTTTTTGGATTCTTTTCCACAAGTTTCTTTGTTCCTTACATGCTGCCAAATATGTCTGTGTTTCTTTTGTTTTATCTTAACAAACTTGGTATTCTGTCATTGTATATACCTTTGGTTTTCTTTTGTTAAGTTCTTCTAGGGTTGAAAGTTTATCTATTATGCACTTTATAAATGTACTTCTTCTGGCACTACCTCTTCTTATTGTGCAGTGTACTCCTTTAGATGTCTTCAGTTTATTCCAAAAGTATATTTAATCATAAATCATAACTTCTGTTTCTGATTCTAGAGTTTTAATTGCTTTCGTTTCTTTTCATTTCGCTTCTAATCTTGCATTCATTATCAATTTGCATAGCAGTCTTGCTGGTATATCAGTACATTTGTTTTCCCACTCTAAGCAGTACTCTATCTTTTCACAATTGACTTTTTCAATCTGTACTATCTCTTTATTTGTTGCATCTTTTTTTGCTAAATTATTGGTTTTATCATTCTATCTATCTTTACTATGGCTCTTAACTTTAACAAACTCTATCTGAATATTCTTTGTTTTAATTAACTCTCTAATTTTCATCACCTATATTGCGTTTTTCTTTTTAAGAATCTTATTTTTGTATACTTGTTCTAGATCTCTACTAATGTTTCTTATTGCTGCATTACTATCTGTATATATTTCTGCTTGCTTTCCTCTTGGTATCATCAGAATTGCAGTCTATATTGTTACTAATTCAGCTGTTGTCAATGTTTGCTATCCTTCTAAACCTAATGCTAACTCTTTTTCTGGCCATTCTCATGTCTTGTCTGTTTGCACCCAACCTATACCCATATTATTTCTGCTTTTTGTGTCTTCTTTGGTTTTCAGGTTTGTTGCTCCATCTATGTATATTATATATTTGTCCTTGTTTCTTATTATATTTCTTCTTAAGACTTCTACTATTTTTTGACTAATGCTGTTTTTTAACTTTTGTCATCTAATTATCTCTACTTCTGGCTCTTCTATTATTCTTAGTTCCTCGAGTTTCTGTTCTCTTGTCTTTGGTTTATTTGTTTTTATTGTTTCTGTTATTTGATCTATTGCTATTTTGATCTTATTGCTGCCTTTTTTTATCAATGTATTTGGAATTATATTGATTTGTTATTTACTCTTATCTACTGTTGGCAGGTATTTTCTTGATGTTCTTTTTCTCTTGTACAACCTTTACATCTGCTAATTTCAATAGCTAGTTCACTTTCTTTACTTTGCATTTGCTAGTGTTTTATTGGTATTTTTTTCTTTTTCTTCTTAATTATCTTTTCTAGCTGTCGATCATTCTGTATATCATGCGTTATCTATTCTTTTTTTCTTTTGTCTTTTGAAATATACTCCTATCTTATATTCATTGCTTAAGTATTTTGTTCGATTGTTCTAAATTGTCTTTTAACTTCTCTATTTTTTAGTCTAATAAGTACTTCTCATTCTATCACTTTGAACCATTCTGCTTTTTTTCCTTTACTTGATAGATCTTGGTAGCATTTTAGCTGCTGTTATGTAATTAATCTCTCTTCTTTTGTATCTATCAGCTGGTTTAAATATATTAAGCCTGCTTTGTTTATTCTGGTACTACTTCTTTTCTGCAACTGCATATCTATAAGTTCTCTTATTTTGATTCTGTATCCAAACATTGTCCATAAGTTGCCTTCTATTCTTATATTTATGTTAAGTTTTCTTACTTTTAGTAATATCAGACAATCTAAGTTACTCTTTTACCTTTTTATATTTTCTGGAATCTCCTCTATTTTTCATATATTTTCTGTTAAACCTACTCTCTGACAACCTTGTGTTATTCTTAATTTTGTTAATTGTCTAAGGCTGTCTTGTCTGTTTAGTCTTGCTAATAGGCCACTTATTTGTTTTGATGTTAATTCTTGTCATAATGTTCTGCAGCTTCCAAGATTTTTGTGTTCTATTACACAATTTTCTAGTGTTCGTTGTAGATTACTCTTTTGCTTTGCTAAACTTATTATTGGCTGATGCATTTTGTTTATACTTCTTTCTGACATTTTTGTTAGTTGTAGCATATAACTTAACTTTGGTATTATTACTATATTGTTTATATATACAATCTAACTCATTGTCATCTTTTTGTATTTAAGATCTCTTATTGTTTGGCTGATTATTCCTTTAGCTTTCTTTTTTACTAGCACTTCACTCATTCTGTTGTTTAGCTATATTTCTAATGAGTAAATTATCTTGTTTTTTGTTTCTTCTGCTATCTTTTTCTTTACTTTTGTATTCATTATTAGCAGCTTTGATTTAGATCCATTTATTTTTATGTCATTCATCTTGAAGAATTCTTCTGCTATTTTTAGTATTTCTATTAGCTGTTTTTTGTTATTTGCAATCCATGTTGTGTCATCTGTATATGCAATGGCTGCTTGGCGATACTTCATAATGTTGCTGCATTGCATTCCTCTTTTGATCTGTTGTTTTACTGTATATCCTAAATTTTTATTTTTTTGTATTCTCTCTAACAGTAGATTATAGAAAAGTCACTATATTAACAGAGATATTACTTCTCCTTGATCTATATCATCTCCTGTTATTATCTCTTCTGTTAGGCTGTAAGCTGTGATAATTTTTAGTTGTCTTTTGTAAAACAGATCCAGAATGCATTTTATTGTTTTTCTAGACACTTTAACCCTTTGCAGTACTAGTTTTAGACTCTCAAGTAGGACCGAGTCAAATGCTTTTTTCATATCTTGCAGAAGTATCTATACTTCTTTGCCTTTTTCTTTTGCTTCTTCCATTATCATGTTGAGAATATGTATTGGTTGTTCTGTAGAGTTACCAGGAAGGCCTGTGTAATTTGGTTTTTTAAGTATTTTTTTTTCTATAAACACTTTGGCAAGTCTTTTTGTTACCATTTTTGTTACAACTTTTCTAAATGTTTCTATTAATGCTATTGGTTGTATGTTGTTTAAACTGTATCTCTACTCTACATCTTTAGGTATTGGATAAACTTGTGCTATCTTCTATTTCATTGGTATCTTTTCTTCTTCTAGACATAGGTCTGCAAATTTTCTAAATATTTTTTGTTATCTTTTCTGTTCTCTTTATCAGTATATAACTTATATCTGATATGCCTAGGGCTGTTTCTGTCTTCAGTTCTCTTAATGTTTCTTCTTATTCTTTTTCTTCAATTTCTTTTTCAACTTCTGTGTACCATTCCTCTTTAATGTCTACTTATGGTTTGTATATTTCTTTTCAATCTTTTGACATCTCTTCTAATCTTGTATTCCTTTTCCTAAATTGTTTTTCGTATTGTTCTGCTACTTCTATTCTGACATCTTTTGAACTTGTTATTAAAGTTGTTTTTCTTTCTGTTTGTTTGATAAACTGTCAAGCATTATTTTCTTATAAGGCCTATTCAAGAGACTTGCTATCATCTTTCCTTGATTTGTTTTGATCATTTTACATCTTTTATCTATATTCTCTTCTATTTGTTTTTTTTATATTTGCTTTTAGTCCTTCTTTTTTCTTTCCAATAATAGCTTTCTCCAACCTTTTATATCTTCTATCTATGCATTTGACTATTGTCTTTGTAGTTTTGGTAAATTTGTATTGATTTTCTTGTTTAGCATTTTTAATTGTTCATTTACTTCACTTCTTTTCTCTTCTGTTACTGCTTGTGTCTTTTTAGTTTTTGCATGCTTAATTAATTTCTGTAACTTGACGATGCTTTCTTCTTATTGCTGTTCCTTCTAACTTCTTTTTCTATTAGTTATCGTATTAAAAACTTTTTTCTTAGGTATATGTTTG